ACGAATTAATGGATTAATATTTTGTATATTTATTATATATATTATAGTTTTATTAAGCGGCACTCAGCGATTATTGATGAATTTATAATTTAAACCTGAAGGTATGCAAATGAAATATATGTATATTATATTCTGATATTATATATTACACCCATATAACAAAAACTTCAATCGACTCTGGTCAAAGTATTCAAGTGGTGCTTAAGGTGCTCAAAGTTGACCAATAAAATGATATAAATTGTTAATTATCTACGTAATATATAGGAAAAATCTATAATTATCAAGAGATATAGTACACACATAATCATTAAGTAATTATATATTAACTGACTTTACGGAGGGAACTTTAAGCTGAGCTGACAATAGTTTTCCAAGGGCACTGAAAATTTTCGTTGCATTATTATTAATTATTTATATATAAAGTAGAATGTGAAAAAATATTTCAAAAATTAAAATTAAATAAGGCTGTTAAAAAATTTATTGTATATATCAAAATGTAATTTATATTACCATATTATATACCATATATGATACTGACATATAATGTATTTAATAATTTATTGTCAATATTATAAATTGCACGTTAATTCAGACGGACGGACAGCAAAACGGACATTATACAATAGCCAATATACTAATTCAGTTTTGTGAATAAGTTTATATACTTATTGCATTTATATTATTTTATTATATCTTATTTTGTAATATTTTTTTCAATTTTAAGTTTGAGCATTTCCTTAATATTTGTGAAATATGAAGAGCTTAAAGGCCTTTAATGGGTTTTTCACTCACTTGGTATATTTCAAGCTTAGCCTACTAAAGTCCGAGTGTTTTTGTCATATAAGAAACACTTAGCCCTAGACTAGTATAGTATGGAATGTTTTGGTAAACATTGAGTAAAGAAAACATATTACACTCAGCTCGTGTCAAGAGTCATTCAAGTGAGTTTAAATAATTTAAAGTTACTCCGAAAAAGGGTAGAGATATTGAAGATCGAATGACTAAGAACTGAATCATGGAAAATGCAGTCACGACTGCTCTTCAGACAATTCGGCTCTTATCATTATTGTCATAATTATATTACGTAGTCTGGCTAATAATTATGTTAATTTCTAATCCGTTATTTTCCTCCAGTTTCATCTCTCTCTCACTCTTTCTCTCTCTCACTCTTTCTCTCTCTCATTCCCTCTTTTGTTTTTCTGACAAGTCATTGTGATAAGCTGAAACCCGCGAGTTTTTCGAAGTTGTTTGCTGCGAGAAACTACCAACTATTTCGTATTTAAGCTGTGCGCAGTCTCAAACTGGTAGTATTTCGAATCTCTTGCCTAACGCGAGCGCATCGGATCCGTATCGGACCGCCTCTAATCGAATTTTGTTATTGTTCCACTTCTTGTTGCTTTCCTCGCGCCGGAGAATGTGGTTGA